TCCATCTTATCCAGAACTGGAAATTACTGATTTTTAATAGCTTTCATACATGAATAATTTTAAAATCTTTAATACATTTTTGATTTGGTGATGCCTACTTATATTTTATAAAATATATACATAATTATTGCTGGTTATCTTAGCTTGAGCGTCCACAAAAGAGAGTGTGATACAAGAGTTTCCATTTGAGTAGCTCATTTGGCAAGAGATTCTAGTGAGTCAGAGTAAGAAAAACGTGTGGTGAAGCAAGGAAAAAAAGTCAAACAAGGATTGTGTTATGAAACTGCACATCACTACAGGCAAGTGGTGCTTGACCCTATGGGTCCAAAGTCGGCATCCATTTTTGTGAAGATGAATAACTACCACCTCTTAGAATGGGTGCAGTGCATTCAATGTAGAATGAGGTAGCTGGATGATATCCTTGAAGGAAGGGACAGAATTGAGTGCCCAGCATCAGATGTTGCTCTTGGGGAGTTATACATTCAGAAGTGGGAGTAGCTTGATCACCCCTGGAGAGAGAGAACCAGTGCTGTTGAACTCAAGCTTAGGCTCCATCCCTGCCATCAGGACAATTCATGGATTCACTGTGCCAGAACCATGATGACTGAGGAGAGAAGCTGTTTGACATCCACATGAGTCATCAGATCCAATTGGTTGTTAAGTGCCTTCTCTACAGTCAGTTCCTTGGATGGCCATTAATATGAGGCACAGAGACACATGCTTTGTTTCCATTCTTATAGTTCTAACTACATGCCTCATATCCAAACTTTCTTATCTTCAATTTCCAATCATTCTTCTTCCAAGACCTTAACATACCAGCCAAATCATTCACCACAGTCCAGGTGACCACCTCAAGCTACTACTTCTTCCATACAAAGTGAAGAATCTGGTGTAATGCTCACAGCTCTGCCAACTGGAAGTTTTACCCTTCAACATTATTCTTTAGGGCTACTCTAACTGAAGCTGAAGTGTGGTGGCAGTCCGTTTATAGCTACCATTAATATTTAATGCTCACACATCTGTGCATCAGGCTTGATAATTTCCTCTTCCATTAGTTGGTCATAGATCACCCCCTACCTCACGAGGGGCATCATTGTAACAGTGGTCAAAGGCATGGGGGTTTGTGCAATCAGTCGGTTTATTTGTGCTTTCTCAGGCTGGATTCTAGAGCATTACCATCGTGGGTGGACTGCTATTGAGCCTGCCAGACCTTATCGCTTGGTGAATCTTATAATGTACAGCTTGTGGTGGGAAGCTCCTGTCGTATAGTCACTTGTTAACTCTTGGTTAGGCACTCCATATATACTAACCTCAATAGCATATAAGGAGCTATGTTTTAATTGGCAAGTAGTTTACTGACATAGGAGGTATGGCTTTTGTTAAGAACCCCGGGATTCTGTGTTGCAACTCCCATATTATGGCTTAGAATGACTTAGATAGTGCATCCTTATCCATCACAGATGCTGTAAGCATTATCAGATATGCTGAGTCATATGACCTGAGTAGCAGAACAACTTGCACTGCAGATCTGAAAACTTGGTGGGGGACCACAATTTTCCACTGCAGCTGCTAACATCAGACTTTGACTTGCCAAGTCTCATGTTTTTCTTTTTGTACAAAAGAAGTGAGCTGTTCATACTCTAGCCCTGGAATACTATCTATAAGGTATTGCCACAGATTCCTGTCAATCAAACTAGTTTGACTCCACTCTGACCTTACTTCGCATTATGGTAATTGTACCCAACTTGCTTCTGAGGTTTTGTGCTGCTAACTGGGCTCTGACATTCTGGAATCTTATCATCTCCATTGCAACATAGTTTAGTTCCAATCATGGCTTGCAGAGGAGAGCCAACATTGAGTTTCTCAAAAATGTCAAGTGTTCCCCCTCACCAGCACAGTCTTTATTATTGTAGTGTCTTCTCTGCCCTCCTAGGGCAAGTAGTTTAGAGATAGGTCCTCGTCCCATGCAATAAATTATTTCTAATACCTTCACTCCCTTTGACCTTCTCACCAATTCCTCAGTACTCTGGCAAGGAAGTTCTAATATCTCCATCTCATTTACTGTAGCCTGTTGTCCAAGCTTAAAGATGCCACCCAAGCAGCATATGAAGGCAGCTCCAGGACATTGAACCCTGAGTCATAGCTTTGTACTCCTATGACTCATGTCAGTGAGTCCTCAAAATCCATTCCAATGTATATTATCCCAGTTCATACTAGTACACATTAGCTCGTTCCTATAGTTCTTTCTGGATTTTCCACCTAAACAGAGACTGTATTTTGTTCCTTGTGCTGTGATGATGCCTTACCCTTGTCATGAGTTGGAAGCAATGAAAAATATCAGTGTTGGGTGTTGAGAAAGACAAGCAATGTCTTTTTGAGGTAGCTGCCTTAGATGAGGCTATTGCCTTGTCTCTAGGAACAGAGGGGTTGCTCTCCAATAGTAAGGGTTAGGGGGCTGCTTTTACCAGGCTGAGTGTACAGAGGATTATAGGTATTCAAGATTCCCATACTCATCACTATTCCAGGTCTCAGAGTTCTACTCCTTCCTTATTAGGATACATATATTGATATAGAGATCTTTAAATGTTGTGAATGCAGTTTCCATGCAGCTCTGCAACCTTACACTTAGAATCTGGGTCTGATATTCAGCAGTCTGCCTTATGACTGGAGGAGGTGAGGGTCTTCTTAATCCAATGTGTTAGGGTGAATAACAGGTTGTGCATTTCCATTAGACACACAAACCTAGATTACAGATCCAGTTTAGGGCAATCTTAGAGCCTGCCCTAACAACCACTCAGGCTGAAAGGGATCTCAGAATCCACACTGAGTTGGAAGCCAAACTCATCTATTTCCACACCCCAAATGCCAACTTACTTAAAGAGGAGAATAAATGCATGTTTAGGCACATCTTCCTTACTTCAAAATATGCCACAATATAAATGACATCCTAGGAGGAATTAGGTGCCCCTCCTTTACCCCAAACCAAACACCCAGGAACTCACAAATATGGGGAATCCTCGGGCTTTGGTTTTCAAATACAGTTAGTCCATGAGGTTAAGAAATATTTCTCATTATTATGATGAAGAAGTGCATCTTAGTCATTTTAGAAATTAGATTGTCATCTGGCTCACCTTAAATCTGGTACCTTAAATTCTCAGAGCAGAACTTTAACCCACACATTGCTTGCTCTATTGACCCACAATTGTATGAATAAATGAATAAATAAATGAATTAGGTAGTAAATAAAATATTAGAACCAAGAGATAGAGTTAGCTCCACTGAGAAAACAGAAGCTGGGTAATATATCAGAATCAAAGGGACACAATATTATAGAGTAAACAGAGTGTGTTTTCCCAGGGTATAAGGTCCACATATAGTGTGGTGATGGTCTGTTGTCAAATGATCCTCAGAATCATGAGGATCATGAGGAAACTATGTGGATTGGTACAGGCTATATGCCCAAGGAGTCTGGTCTTTGTCAGGCAAGAGACAGGGTCCAGAGAAGGTTCTGTGAAATCTGAAGCTTACACAGTTTTGAAGGCTTTCTTTTAAAATAACACAGAATCAATCATGAAAGTGAATATTTATTTAGAATTATAAGATAATGTATAACAAGCATTAAAATCATGACAACTACAATAAGCAAAAATTCCAAACAAATCATATATATATATATATATATATATATATATATATATATATATATGCAGAAACACCACTAATGTAACTGTACAATCTGAAGTATGGTGAAGTGGACGTTCAAGGTGAAAGATATAATAGTTTTATGGAAAATCAAAACATCGAACTTCTGCAACTTTTACATAAACATGTGGCCATGTGAACACATAACAAAAGCCCAAGAGTGACAGCTGTCTCACTCTGAAAAATGCAGACAGGTTCATGTAGAGCCCTTAGCATTTATTTTTACATCAAACTTTTAAAATAAAATAGCTCTCTTAATATTTATTCTCACTAAAGTCTTGTTTCAAGTTAGAATAAACAGTTCACTGGCTTCAGGCTTTAACTTTCAATTGTGTATTTTTAAACACATTGGGATAATTGTCATATTTTGCCAAATAGAGACTTTTTCTGTGACCCATTTCCAAATTCACAGACTTTGGTCCATCTACTCTTTCTAGTAGTGTGGAATGATTTACCAGTTGGAATTTATATTATTGAAAGCAACTGGAACTACTGCATGAATAAGCCAGATGATAAAAATTGCTTGGTTTGAAACAAGTGACTATGTATTTGGAGATACAAGACTCAGAACAAAGTGCTTGCATTTTCTACAGTTTGTATCAAACCAGATGGGCTCTTAAGCAGTCAGTCTGGACTCATACATCTAGAGTAGCCAGACCATGAATACAATGATTCTAGCTACCTTCCACGTGTGGTCAGAAGGCTATATTAAGATACAGCCAATGTTAGTTATGAAGACAGCCGAAAGCCTGTCTGTTTTAAGAAACCATTCAGCTATTGAATGATAGACACTCCCATACATGGAATTTCAGGGAAGTGTAGAATGGACAATCTTGTTCAAGGCTGCCAAAATTATTTTCTGCATGCTGAGATGTTATTCACACACACAAAGACTGCATGTTGGTAATTCATTAACTTTATTTTTGAATTCCACATTGTTTTCTTGCAAAAGCAATTGTAGTTAGTTATAATATATAGCAACACATCTCTATCTTTGGTTCTATATCTCAGAGATATTTTTTTCCAAAAATAAATAAGCATGGCAAGAAAAATAATTCAGCTATCTTAAGAGAAAACCTAATATTTTATAAAAATTAAGCAAAAATATATAATTGATGCTTTTTAACTTTTTTCTAATTATCTTGCTTAATATCTAATACCAGTGCAACTTTAATGTTAAAATGATTGTGCACACTGTATTTAACTATACAGCATAGACACAAAAATGTCAAAAAACAAAATAGCACTTTCCCTTATAAATCATTTAGGAATTATGCATTCTAAAAATGTATGGGAAAGTAGAACTGCTGAAATATGTTAATAATTTGACTTTGAAGAAGCACAAGAAAAGGAAATGAAGATGTAGGAATAGTCACAGATCCTAGAGATTGCAAAGAAAAAGTGAACTCATCACCCAAAGTCTCCCATTTCTGGAAAATATTTATATGTTAGAATCATTCAGAGATTTTTTAAAAAACTAGCATCTATGGAAGTTCCCTGTTATGGTTTGGACTCTCAGAAGATTTAAGGAGCTTCATTTGTTAATGGTTTCCGTCTCTTTTCGAATATGATTTTTGCATCAAATAATTCTCTTTCCCTGTATCCTAGAGATGGCCCTTTTAGATACTTTGCTTCTGCTGCCTTGTAATCTAATCCATCAACAGCAGAAATTGAATAAATGATTGCTTCCGGCAGAAGAACTTCCAGGATAAATTTAATTTTATCATCTCTTATCAGAGTCAGCATTTTTTCATCTATTTGTTTGTAGATTTCTTGTAAATATTTCACCACCTCATCCAACTGATCTTCATCCTCAAAGTATGTTTCAATACAGGGTGTGAACCTATTTGCATTCAAAAATGATTTCAGCCATCTGGACCCTTTTGTGCCTTTTAAAATGGCTAAAAGATGGCTCTCTGTTCCCTTTGTATTCACAATGAAGTCCACTAGGTTCTTGTTGGCTCGGTCCCGAGCAGACTTCATTCGGTCTGGAAGAATTTTCTGGAAGGACATTTTCTTGGTCTGGGAAGTCACAACCATTGATTCCACAGGATTTTCATTTTGCAGCTTTGGAAATAAGTTCCTGAAGGTATCCTGTTTGATTACTTTCCTAAGTGGATAACTAATGTCAGCAGCATAATACTCAAGGAAAGAGCCTGCAAAAGAACCACAACCTATTCTAACTCTGTAGTCACAAATCAGCGAGATGCACCAGTCAATACTTTCACTGTAGTCCTCCCTGGCTTTATCTACTAGTGCTTGTTTCTCTTTACAGTCAAATTTCTTTAATCTTCTAAAAGGCACTCTAATGCCTCTCTTTTCAGGATTCATATTTGCCTCAACAAAAAGCACACTTGCTTTTCTCTCTTTTCGCCTGATGCTTTTTACCACTGCTGGCCAAAATGGATATTTTTGATATTTAAACCAGACTATCATTCCTGTTTCAAATGAACGTGGCTCATAATGAAAAATGAAACGTGGAAGTTCTTCATCTTCCTCATTGTCATCTAATATGGAAGCATCAATAGAATTTAGATGAACTGACTTGTCAGAAGCTTGAAGTTCTTCCCCAAGTTCCTCAAAATCCAGTCTCTGAAGATTTCTTTCATTATTCACAAGGAGTGAATAATCCATGGCATGGTTAGAGGCACTAAAGGAAACCTGGTGTTCCCATGAAGAAGGCCTAGGGGATGCCACAACACCCATCTCTGATGCCACAGTAGGTTGATTCTGGCTGGTATCTGAGCATGGATTGGAGGGGCCCTCTCCAGGATCTTCACTATTCTCTGAGAAGGTAGAGCATTCAGAGGAAATAGCCAGGGCCTCTGGGCAGATGTCCTGTGCCTCCTCTTTCAAAGCTTTGGGCACAGTGAAGCTATCTGATAGTAAAGTTGGAGTGAACTTTTCATCTTTAACATATACATCCTCCTCTTTAATTGTGGAATGCAAAGGCATAATTGTTGAGATGTCAGTCTTTTTCTTGCTCTCCTTTTCATCCTCATCTTCTGAAAGTGAAGGGAAAGTGTGGCGCCAGCTGAAGTTTTGTGATGACTTTGTTTCCATTTCACTTGGAATAGTATCAATGACTGCATGCACCCGTGATTTATCATTATACAGGGAATCATCACTCTCTGAAGATACTAACAGGGATTTTGAATTTTCATTTTCCTCAAGACACTTTGGTAAGTCTCCTTCGTGCTTCCGATACATTTTACGAGGGGGTGAATCAGAAAGCTTTTGAGGTACATTTTGAGACAGTGTCGTGGTCTCTCCCTCATCTGAACTGCTTGCTTGAATCAAACTTGTTCTCTCATTCAGAATATCCAGTGCCATTTTTAGTGACCTTGCATAGGCTGTTTCCTCTCTAGGTGGGTCACTGGCCTCTGACTGTGCTGCTAGTGAGGAGGCAATAGCTTCAACTTGAGATTTACTGAGGATCTTTGTTTCTGTGCTTTCCACTTTAATTGTTTCATCTAGTGAGAGTATCTGAACTTCTAGGGAAAATGTCTTTTTTCTCTTACTGTTTGATGAAGCCTCAGATCTGGACAAAACTTTTGCTGGCCACAGTTGGCCTTGCCAATTACATAAGACATACTTGGCATCCATTATGATTTAGATTTGTGTGCCAAGAGTTTACTAGCAGAGATTGAGGTGTCTGGCTATTCTTGTCACTGCTAAGGAAGTTCCTACCACAAACAATACTTTTAGCAATGCCCCTGTTAAAACTATAAAGAATTACAAAGGGTTTACAGCTTGTGTGGCCTGTTCTCCTCCAGCTGAATTTCCCAAGGATGCTTGAACACGTTGTTTGAATGGGACGATATGGAAGATACTGAAATAACGAAAAGGAAGAGAAGAGAAGTATCAGCAAATAAAATTATTTTGCCAAAGTTGGTGAGCAACTGCAAATAGAGCAGAGACAGAAGAAAGGACAATGCTCAGTGGGGCATCAGACGGAGGAGAAAAATGCAGAATAATATAAGGTGCGGGATGAGAATTGGAGAAGTGTTTTTATAATATCCCAGACTAAAGAACTTACCCTCATTATTGCACATGATTATTAAAGAGTGACTGTATGTGCATGATGGCAGAGATGGTGTGTCAGGAACTCTATGTTATTAGATATTTTCGGACTTCTGTGCCCCTAATGTTATACCTGGGGCAGCGGGACTCTGAACTTAGCGTGCATCAGAATCATCTGGAGGATTGTTAAAACTAGATTTCTATGCCCTATCATGAGAATTTTATTCAGAAGGTCTAGACAGAATCCAATGTTTTGCACTTCTAATAAGTTATCAAATGATGCTGAGGCTACTTGTCTAAGAACTCTTTGGAAGCACTGCTGTAGCTGAACACACAGCTTTATAAATTTTAAGCTATAAATGCTTCCTTGTCTACCCAAAGCAGGGAGACAAAGATAATAGGGTCTCTATCTCTTGAACCCAGACCACAACACAATGACCTTGTTAATAGCATGAGCTTAGAAGATAAAGGTTTAGAATGGCTACCAGGTTCACATATTGGATAGGATAATTATCAAGGATCTCTTGAGAGTCAAGTGGTTGGATAGGACCTCACATAGAAATCTGAATAGTCTCTTGCATGAATTCTTCATAGTGGTTTAACACATGAGATTCTTTCCACAAAGGAGAAGCTATTACTTTTAATTACAAAACATTATGGCTATAGAACAGGGAGCAAAATGAATTACACCTCAAATTCTCAACCTAACATGATTTTAATATGAAATGTAGTTTTTAATTTAAAAATGCTAAAGCTGCAGAGAAAGAAACAAAATAAATTATACCCCAAGTTCTCAACATGTTTTTAATGTGAAATATTTTGTGAAATGAAAAGAGCCTTACCCAATGTCATGTGGATCAGGAAGGGTCTGGCCCTCTGATCCGTCTGTCTTGATTCTCACTCCAAAAGGAGACAGGCTGTCCAAAAGGAGACAGGGAATCAAACAAATGGACAAGGCATAAAGAAACTTCTCTACCAAAACTTTAGCAGGTGTGTCATTCTGAAACACAGGAATGAAATGAAATCTCATCTGTGATGTAGATGTTTACTGTCCTCCTTGGTTTTATTATTTTAAATTCTCTCTGTGTGATATAGTTATGATATCTGGTTCATGTTTAAATCATCTTTCCCAGGAAAAGTGTGAGGTTAGGACAAGAAAGGGAAGTAACAATTGCCTTGTGTCTACTATGAGCCCGACTATAGATTTTGTTTGAATCCTCAAATCAATCACCGTGTGAATTTTTCATCCTTTACACACATAATTTTTTTTCAACAGAATTTTATTCACACTCTACATGCTGTTTCACAGTCCACTAATACAAAATATGTTTCATTGCTTTATTGGCCTACTTCATAAAAATGGTTGCCTGGAGAAAATTTAGAAAACCTGTCAAGCGCCACCTTGTGACCAGAAGCAGAACTTCAGCCTCCTCAGGAGCTATACACAGAGCCTCAATCACTATCAGATTTTTCTTATTTATGAGAAGGGTGGGAACTACATTTAGCCAGCCAGGAGCCTTTTCAGGCTTCTAGAACTTTCTAAGTTCAAGAGGGTTATTGTGTAGGATAAGAAAATTAAAGTGTCTTCAACTATAATGTTTCTGGTTATAAAACATGCAGAAGCTTATTAAAAATTGAAAAGATGCAAAAGGATATATGCAAAACTAAGTACAACTCTCTATATAAATAATCACTCTGAATATTTTCTATCTTTCCAGAGTTTTTTACATGTATAGATAAATGCATATCATTTCAAAACAACATCAGATCTCAATTAAGAGCATAGTTCGAACATCATCCTACATAAGTATTTTCCACATGATTTATGAATTACTTTAAATGAGGTTTTTTCCACATTTATAACATTTTATCTCAATATTTTTCCTGATGATGTAAAACAAGTAAATGAGTAAGTATATATCAATATTTTAAATATTTTAAAAATAGAGAGCAGTAAAGCTAGTCCTGTCTCTACAACTACACAAATAAACAATCCTGTTAATAGTGTGGCAGATATGTTTTCCCAGATTTGGTTGCATGAATTATATAGTAGCATATATATGTTTTACCAACACACATATTTATTTTTAAGTGAGATAATATAACAAATGCTATGCTACAAATTGCTTTTTTCACTTTATTTCTCAGACATTTCAAATCTCTACATGTAAAGGATTATGTTTTTATTTTCCAGATACATAGGTATTCCACTTATGGATGCACCCTGCCATATAATATTTTTAAAATTGCTAGTAGAAATAAGCCAAATCCTCTCTCTGTCTCACTCTTAAACTTAAAAGATATAGAAAAATGGTTATTGCTGACCATGGCCATACCTGTGGTCTGAAAGAATGAGTTGCAAGGAGGACACAGGCAGGGCTGTAGCCAACACAGCAACCAGGCTACACGCTTGATCAGGTCCAGAAAAATTTCCACTATCGGCAAAAGACTGGGGTGGGAGGGGTATGTCTGCATGTCTGTGTGTATCTATGAATGCTTATGTGTTTGAAGCAAATTAGATGTGCTGTTTCAGCTTCATTTTTCTTTCATGATTATAAAATTAATCATGGGGAAATCTACTCTAAAGATGGTGATATAGGCTAAGAAATAATATTAAAATAGTAACTTGACCATCCAGAAATGCTAACATGGGGGCTTATTTTCTCCCAGATTTTTAAAAAAAATCACACATATATACATGCATATATATGTGCAAGTGTCTTCACTCAAATACATACTTGTTCCCCTTTCCACGCTCATGTACAGGTGACACACACATAGTCTATGTGTCAATCAAATTATAGAAGTATTTCCCTCCATGCTGTCATATATTTTTATCCATCATTTTCTGTGTAAATTAATAAATGCTTAAAAATTCAAACAGTAACAGAGTGTCTAGCAATATAAGCATCGAATGCCAAGTCAATAAATTAGCATGAACGCCCATGCTGCACTGAGGTCTTAATATAGAGGCTGTAATCTGATCACCCCTTCTCCCACTGTGGACTTTTAAAGCACTGGGAGATACAAAAATTCCAAAGGATTAATTCTTTCAAAATGCCAGCAATTATCTCAAAACCACACACTTATCCCACCACTCTAAGACCACTGTCCCTATTTTTCTCATCTTCATTCTAGGGTCCTGAGGAATCCCTATAAAATAATTAGCTTTAAGACAGCCATTACCTGGAAGCTTCTTGTCAGCTGCAGCCTGGTGAAATGCAGCTCCTCCCCCAAGACTGGTCAGGCGCAGCTCACTCCCAAGCTTCTCAGAGAATGCTCCACCCCCTCCCTGTGATGAAGACAGACGGTCCTTCCCTGAATTATGGGAGGGAGAATTGCCCAGTTAAACTGCTGAAGTGTTAAAGGGTAGAAATGTTCCTTTTTAAAGAACTTGAAAGTGAATTGGCAACAAGTGTCTGTTTAGTTTCCCTTAGGGTGGTGATTTCTTGAAGAGGTTGCAAATCACTTTATTAAAAAAAAAACTAATTTAAACTATTTTATCATATTTTTCCTTGCCTTCTCTGCACCTTACCTTGGTAGGTAAATTTAAAACCCAGCTGGTCATGCTTCATTAAAATAGTTCACCAAGGATCTTGACTGGGATTGCACTAAAACTGCACATCATTTTGGGGAATATGACTTCTTTATAATTTTTTGAATGTTTCCAGGCCATGGTATGTCTCTCCTTTTATTCAGTTCTTCTCTTAAATGCTTCAGAAATTTCCAGAGACGTCTTCATGAACACGGATATTTCTATCAGAGGCTGAAAATCACTCATTAGGCAGGAAAGCACCCATTTCATATACCCTCATCAATAAATGGCAATTACTTCTTCTTATATTTTATTGGTATTTTTCACTCACACAATTCAATGTGGGGGAAATTAACTTTCAAAAATTCACATGTATTTGTATGTCTGAAATATATCTTGCACATTTTATTAGTTAAAATTCTCCTGTGTAGGGGCTTCCCTGGTGGCGCAGTGGTTGAGAGTCCACCTGCCGATGCAGGGGACACGGGTTCGTGCCCCGGTCTGGGAAAATCCCATATGCCACGGAGTGGCTGGGCCCGTGAGCCATGGCTGCTGAGCCTGTGCGTCCGGAGCCTGTGCTCCACAATGGGAGAAGCCACAACAGTGAGAGGCCCGCATACCGCAAAAAAAAAAAAAAAAAATTCTCCTGTGTTAAGTTAAAATTTAGATTTCTGCTTTAATTTAGAAAGTCAATTTTAAATATTGCTAGTGGTAATTTTGGAAATGAAGATATATGGGAATGAAGTGTTTTATTTGGTCTCTGTGTTATACAATATGTAATATATATATATTTATGTATAAAATATTTATAAATAAATTTATTTTATATATCTTATTTATATATAAATTTATTTATTTTATATAAAAACTTATTTATATATAAAATAAACATATATATGTAAAAGTTTTTATTATATAATAAAAAAGTTGATCTTATATATAATCACCAACAAAAATAATTTTCTTATTATATAATTAATCTTTTCAAAGTTTTCAAAGTATTATTACCTAATTTAAAGAGGATTATCAAACTAGTGTAAATATGGATTTATTTAAATGAAGAGATATATTCAATTATATATTTTATAACGTAATATTTCTTTCTCTCTTCTTATTTCACATGTTTGGGAAAAACCAAATGCACATAAAATATGGTCATTACATTAAAATTATACTTTGCTGTGTTTATTTTGTCTATTTTCTATATTGCACATAAATCAGGAAATACTACACCACCACACCATTTTCCAAACAAAATGCAAAGTAAAAGATTAATTCCTTGGACAATATTTTATATTTCATTGTTCTGTAGAAGGAGGAGGAGAGGAATGATACCCAATAATAATTAATGCTACTACTACTACTACTACTACTATCTTAATGAAGATAATGATTATAGATATAATAATATCTATACATTGCCGTATGTATATACAATGGAATACTACTCAGCCATAAAAAAAAGAATGAAATTTTCCCATTTGCAGTAACATGGATGGACTTGGAGGGTATTATGCTAACTGAAAGACACTTAGCATAATATCACATATGTGGGATCTAAAAAATACCACAAACTAGTGACTATAACAAAAATGAAACAGACTCACAGATACAGAGAACAAAGTAATGCTTACCAGTGGAGAGAGGGAAGAGGGGAGGAACAATATAGGGGTAGGGGCTTATGAGGTACAAACTACTATGTATAAAATAAGCTACAAGGATATATTGTACAACACAGGGAATATAGCCAATATTTCATAATAACTATAAATAGGAGTATAACCTTTAAAAATTGTGAACCACTATATTGTACACCTGTAACAAAAAAAAGATTATGTATTCTGAGTGCTAATATAGAGTCGTTTCCATAGATACCTAATCAAGACTAATTAAGGTGTTTTCTAAACAAAAAAAAAAGAATAAAGTAGACACCAGCCACTGAAAACTAAGGCTTTGGCTGCTCTGGCAGAAGGATACCCAACATCATCCTAAGTTTGGGAGGACCCTAGAACTGAGGTCTTCACAACCCATAATATCTTATGTCTCTTTACATCTCCCATTCTGGCATTCAAACTGGATTATACATTGAATGCTGTCAATTCAACAAACATTTGTTAAGCATGTGTATTTCTAGATGTTGAACTGGGTTCTGAATTAATCAGGAGCAGATAGTAATTCTCTTTGACCAAGTATTAGTTTACTAGTACATCATCTCCCTCGATTCTCACAAAATCTTGTTAGGTGGGTATTCTGAATATTACCACTTTGTAGATGAGGCATTAGAGAGGTTAATTAACTTTTACAAGGATATCTAGAGACTACTGGGCATATGGGATTTGAATCCTGTACTTCGACTCCAGAGTCCATGCTTTTAATCATTAAAACACACTGAACCTACCTCATCACAAATGAAAAATGCTCTAAAAATGTGGGCTGGATGAATGGTGAATTAATGAATTTGAAATAGTTATGTACTGGGAGTCACTGCAACTTAAAAGAGAATCCTGTATCTAATTTAACATAAATTAGTCTTTTATAACATAGTTATGGGAGTGAGTGACATCCCATCACTTTTGCCAAATTCTATTGATTGGAAGCAAGTCACAGGTTCTGTCCATACCTAAGGGGAGGGAACTACACAAGGGAGTTGGCCACCTAGCGTGTGTCTACCACAATACTGTATGATTACATTTATGTGACATTTTCAAAAAGAGAAAAGTATAGTGACATGATCAGTGGCTGCTAGGGGTTATAGGTAGGGAGAGGGTGTGACTATACAGGGATAGCACAGGAAGTTGTTGGGGTGATGGAATCTTCCATATCCTGACTGTGATAGTGATTATATGAATTTATACATGTGTAAAATCCAAAGAAGTGTATACAAAAAGTCATATATTATATATGATACTTTAAATTATGATTTTAATGTATAATAATTTTAAAAAAGTTAAATGGAAAAATTTAATAACTAGTATATAAAAATCAACTCTTGTAAGTATGCTTTAGAAATATTCAGCTTCTTCCTAAAGCACATTTAATAACAAAGAAAACAAAAATAACACCCATACATATATTATTAGAAAGCATCAGTTCCATTTCAAATTAGGATATAAAAAGCTGTAAGAGAATGCCACCCATAACTTAATGACAAAAATCTAAATAATCTACAAAACTATAATATCCCTTGAGCTCATCACAGAACTGAGGTAAAACGAATTCCAAAGGGTAACCAGCCCCTTTGGCAAAGCATGGAGACAGAAGTAGCTGTCACACAAGCAAGTAAAAAAAAAAATCAGCTGAAAGCTTAATGAATTTTTAAATTCTTAAACTTTTAACGGGCTAGTGTGTCAGTAGTTTGGAATATGTGGCATCCAAGACACCTATACGCTTACTGCTATTTTTCACAGTCCTTAACCAGAAGCACATAAACATGACTGGGGACAACGCAGAAGACCAAAAAGAACCCATGTCAGTGTTCAGGTATGCAGGAGGCAATCAGCTGCTGCTGGCGGACAGACACGTAGCCCCACACACTAATTCAAACCTTTCAATCATGGGAAGCAAAAGCCTTAAGTCACTAGGGGAAAAGCAGAAGCCACCTTCCTGGGGAGGGGAAGATAGGAAACCCTCCCATCCCCAAGACAAAGGCAGAAATCCATAGCTACTGGGGAGCAGTAAAAGCAAAAAACCTCTGCCCTTGAGAAGGAGCAGTAAACGTTTGAGTCCAGGATCCTATATGAGTAAAAAGCAGTGAGCTACTGATGAGGAAGGGGCAAGAATATATCTCCCACCAAAGGTCAACCCCAGATGTAAATCAGAGGCTAGCTGACATTCGGAGGAAAGAATGCTGAGAAAGTGCAACCATCAGGTCTAGGTACATAGTGCCTCTCTAAGGTTGAGGTTAGACAGAAAAACAGAGAACACTCCTTGCTTCACCACGAACCTAGCACCTAATAACAGAGGCCCACTGCTGCAAAACAGGCAAGAGCATGAAGAGAGACACCACGCTCCCCAACCAGTGGCACAGGTGTAAAGGGACTGCTGAAAATTTAGGATGGAGAAAGACCATTAGGAAAAAATCCTCTGGCATTCAGGCTGCACTCTAAGCAAAATAAAGTTTGTTATGCAAGCCAGATGATAATGAAGTGAGAAAAGGAGGACACAATCTCCAACGTATTTTATGATAGCAGCATTAACCTCATACTAGAAAAAAAATATAACAAGTAAAGAAAATTACAGATCAATATGCCTCAGAAACAAATCCAATGATACAGATACAGAAATGATATAGAATTACAGAAAATGATACAGAAAAAATCCAATGGTATAGAAAAAGGATAAAATATTATGAATAAATGGTGTTTATCCTGGAAGTTTAAGGATGGTTATATATTTGTCAATCAATCAATGTAACTCACCATATCACAGACTAAATAAAGAAGAAAATAGAGGACATCTCAATTGATGCGGAAAAAGCATTTGACATAATTCCACAGACATTCATGATAAAAATGTTTGGCAAACTAGGATTTAAAGGGATCTCAATCAATCTGATCAAGGTTATCTATATAAAACCTAAAGTTAAAATCACACTTAATGGTGAAACATGGAATGCTTTTCACCTAAAATCAGGAACAAGACATGGGTGTCTGCTTTCACCATTTCTATTCAACATTATACTGGAGGTCCTAACCAATAAATAACACCTGAAAAATAAATTAAAGCCATGCAGATTGGAAAGGAAGAAATATAACTGTTTTTAATTGCAGACAACATGATGATC